TGCATCCGTCAACGTGTACTTTGAAATATTTAGACTTTTGCAGTGCAGCTTCACCTGACGGGTAGATTCCTTTGCGGTAAAGTCAATGGAGACCTTTCCACTAAATTGGTCATTGTCCTGGTCCGAGGTGACATCCAGTTGAACGTGATTGGGAATGACGTTGCTATCTAAACGAATCTCCTCTTCGCTAGGCAGAGGCGTCGTAGTCGGTGGCGGTGGTTCACTCGGTGCGACATCATTACCTGTTGAGAAGTTGCTATAAGTACGCAAAATCACCTGCAAACACAATTTGAGAGCACTTACTGGCGTCTTCCTTTTTGATGTATGCCACAAGAAAACCTAAAAAGGGAGTTGTTCGTTCAGCAAGTTAGTCATGTTCAAGAAAAGAGCACCCGCCGTATCACTTGCCAATGAAGAGAGCAAAGAGGATGATTATGGCCGCCCAGTAGAGTATTGTCTTGGTCCGCTCAGAGAGCAGTTTACTCGCCATGAGGTAGCCTCAGTCGGCTGCACGCTTTTGGAAGAAAGAGAAGAGAGAATGAGGTGATGGTGAGCTTGGTCAGGTGGATGCAGGCCACTTTGTAGTTGGCGGACAGTGAACTGGATGCCTGAAGGCACTAAAGTCCACGTAACTTAGACTATCCGCCATTGCCACCGGTGGAAGTGTCAAAAAGAATGCACGTGTTGTGGGGACAATGCAGTATGACATTCGACCAGTTAGCAGTAGCTGTAGTAGTCTGCCCTAAAAGCTGCATGGTCTCTGAGCTGCAGTGAAAAGTGTTTTCATGTTCATCGTCAGACTAGCTGCGAGTATTGTCACTCATGAATCATTCACCGTAGAGAAAAACAGGCGGCGGTGGTGGCAGCATTCCAAGAGGAGGAAACTGTGTGGTATAGAGATGATATAGAGATGACAATGGAGGTGCTGTGGGCGCATTTAGGGCAGACTAGTGCCGATTCAAAATAGCAACAGGCGTCGAGGTTCACGGACTGTTTAGCGACTCCTTCTCCCTGACTGCCAGCTAATTAGGAGGCCCTCCACGAAGAGTTGATACAGGAGAGGCCGATTCAGTGCCGGCAACGGCATCATTCATAGCACACTTTCTTTTATAAATCAACTGTGCGGCTGTTGCACTTCTGTAGGATTAATCTGCTGAACTTGTGAAAACATTCTACATTCTGGATATCTTATTATTCTACTGGGAGGGAACAAAGAAAGAGTGCTGAATGAACAAACAAACACTGAGGAAACTTTGCACCTTTCTTCGATGTCTGCTGACAGTTGCAACAGTTTTGAATGAGAACAGCACTAGACGCAGTAAATCAAAAAGTAAAATAAACAAAGTACAGCACGAATGACCAAAATTGCACTTTAACGTCACTTGCACAAAGCATGTACCAGGCGCACAGGGACATCCTCTCAATCATCATCTCACTTGTGACATTGGAATCCTCAATTGCCACTGTTTGGAATCACAGACCAAAACGCTTGGTCACGCCTGACTGCCAGTGTCCTTTGCAGAATGCATTGATTTGCAAGACGACATTGAAAAAGTGTAAGAAAAAGGCGGCAGTGCTTGTAGGAAATGTGTCTCAATTTTGATCAATCAAACTCAAGATTGCTTACCAAGGAAGGAAAGAAGAAAGGAAGGAAGGAAAAATATAGATAGATAGCAGTTGACACAATGAAGCACATAAAAGACAAATCTGTCGAATTGTGCTGACAAGTGATCTGACAGAGAACGAGTCAAACAAAACTGAAATGAAGCAAACGTGTCAAGCAATAGATAGTCCGTTATATATACTTGTCTGTCTAGTGGCAGGTGATAACCAATTATAAAACGGGTAAAACTGGCCCAAAAGTGCAAAACTGTGTCCACAATGTTTGCTGGGCCTCCGATGGCACATACACACCACGATGTGCCACGGGGTAATAAAAACATTTCGACAGGGGAGTTCGATGTGCGCAGACACTAGATTAGCAGACAGTGGATGACACAGTCTGCCAGAGAAGGAGCCAATAAAAGTATAAAAGGTATATGAAATGACAGTTAAAAAGTGTGAAGCACTTTGCTGCTCTTCACCGGCAATTAGCAGCACTGATAGTCCGGTGGTGATAGGGGTAATATTGGGTCTCACTGGCGCGCAGTGTTGCCCAAATTGCATGCCCTGGCGTCCTATCAAAGTTGACATGACTACAACAGTGGGAGTGCAATAAATGACACAGGTGAAATGGTGTGCACTTTCAGGTTCTTAGCGGTTTAAACTCGAGACACCCATTGAAACTGCTGAGGAGCATCATCATCAGAAGGTAACGCAGCAGCAGCTAATTCGATTTGTACTTGACTGGCAATGTGCAGTACAACTGAGCAACAGCTGGTTGTCTTGGTAATCAAATACGGCCCGGTAGTGAGCAGACTCCACTGCCACCGCTGCCACCACTCTCGAAGTGACCCATAAAAGAAGAAGAAGAAGATAACCATAAATACTTATCATTGCTACTTTACACAACTCAGCAGTCTGCTGTACAGTAATGGAGACAGTAGGGCACAAGTTCAGTCGCCAGACATGCACAAACACAGACACACACATCGCTCCCTTCTTTCTCTCTCTACCAATAGACGCCACACATTCCCCATTCACCTCATCGGTGCTGTACTACTTTTATTGTCTTCACACGACTTATCACCATATACGGCTGCACCTCTCTCTCTCTCACTCTCGTTCACCCCAGTACAGCTACTCTCGAAGTCTTTGAAAAGTAGCGGGAGATGCACTGAGATGTGGTGGATTAGCAGCGCTGACAGGTGTGAGCTACTCAGCTACAGCAGCAGCAGCTAGGACACGAGCACGCTTCAATGGAGCACTTTCACGAGCCTTCAAGCAGAGTCCAAGGTGATCGCTGCTGCTGCACCTACTACTGCGGTTATTGTGTTTGGGTGTTTTGAAGGGGCAAATTAAGCAATAAATAATCGTAATTAGTACACATAACGCACTACTTGCCTTGCTGGAAGCCGAATGCAGCAAACAGAGGCTCACTGGTGTCAGTCAGTTGAGAAAAGAAGAAGTCACTGGAGATGAAGGGAACATGGAGATGCGAACATCAGGAGCAGAAGATGACAGTGATTGCTGGGGTAAATGTGGTCCGTTTATGATAAATGTGGTCGATATTGACAAGTCAGATAAGTGGATCAAAGATGAGTGACACTTCTGTGAATGATGATCGGCGATGCAGTCCAAGCGGCGATTTGAAGCAAAGTAAGGTGGTAGTACTGCCGACTGCTGACTAGCTATCACCAAAGAGTGCGGGGCCGAGCGAACACGTGCCGTATTGTTCAGTGGCAGGAGTACTGATGCAAACACACACTGTTGCAAACACTTTTCCAACGTAGGTGGTCACAGACAACTGACATGTGTGCTGTAATGGGCCGCTATGGCTGCTGTTGCTGCTGCTGAAGCAGAGTGAGAAGAAATTACCCAAGGCAGGGCCAACTGTCTTGATTGTCCACTTATCGCTCGGAGAACAGGCGAACAAGAGTAAGCTTAACGAGCTCAGCTTGTGTGATTTGCGTGAATGGGCGAAATGGATACTACTGCAGATCAATTTTCTAATACTCTCTCTCGCTTTCTTACTTTCCCCTTATCTGAGCACTTAGCCAGACTCTCTCTCTCTTTCTGCAAATCAACGATGTAGATCAGAAGAATATACTTGAACAAAGCTGGTAAAAGAACTGCCCGCGCACATTCAGCAAGCAGCCTACCTGCAGCATCAACTGCATTAGTACACACACATGCACAAATGATGATAATATTGTAAACAGGTTCAGGTATGCGGAGAAAATAAATAAAATTTGAGGTGTAGAAGCAGTGAAAATTTGCGTCAATTGAATCACTGGCACGATCAACTTGTGACAACCGGGCTGCTAGAATGATCACAAACACACCAAACACTGGCTGAGGAAGCCTAATGGTGTGGCGGTGGTGGTGGTGATGGTGCTTTGCCGGCGACAACCTTGAGGTTGACTAATCAAAGTTACTTCAAAATGGCACTTGTGCAACGACGAAAAGTAAAATGTGTCGCCTGTTGTGTCACCTCACTCTAACTCTCACTCTCACTTTCACTCTTTTTCACTCTCACTGACCAATCGATGACAACTGCAAACTGTTGACATGACGCTCAACTTTTGAGCACAGTGTTCTTGACCACCATTAGCAGCAGCAGAAGGAGTATTGCGCCGAGGTGTTAAGTACTTCAACAACTTCGGCTCGAATTACAACACTGCAAACAACCAAGTCACTGGAAACACTGTAAGCTTACTCAAGATGGCCTTCGGATAAAGCGTTGATTAATTCCTGTATAATCATGAGCGGCGCTTCCATATTTGTCGATAGCATCAATTACTTTTCTTTACTGAAGCAAACGTCACCTCCCGCGCAAACCGCGTACGAAACCGAGTGCTTACCAGAAAGATTACCCAGCGGCTGGTCTGGGAACACTTCTCGGTGAGCAAAACAAAGTTGAAAGTAGAGCCTTTGTTTCCCATCTCGAAAGACGGGGGGGGTCTACTAGCGCCGTCTGTCGGACTGGTAAAAAATGAGTAGATCTGCAAAGCAATAAGCAGAGTATTCAGAAATATTTGAAACGCTCAAATTGACAACAAATCAGTGCCACTGACGTTGCGGCAATTTTGCACAGGCAGCGTTTCCTTTATTTATTAAAACACGACAGACGGCGCTAGTAGACCCCCCCCCGTCTTTCGAGATGGGAAACAAAGGCTCTAGTTGAAAGCGACTTGGCTGCTGTTGTTGTTTCTCCCAGTGACAACTGTGGCAACAACTTTGCTTATCTCACCCCAGTGCCTACCTGATTGCCAAAGTCAGCATCAATTACCTCTCTTGATTTGTCACCATCACCATCCACTCTGAATCACCCTTGACAGACTGCAACTGCACGCGTTCTTTCTTTTTAGTCACAAGAAAAGTCAGAAAAAACTGTCAAGATGGGTCTCTTCGGAAAGGACACCAAGACCACTCCCAAGGAGCAGGTGAGGGAGTGGACGTCGAAACTTCGAAAACAGCAGATGCTGATAGACCGCCAGATCCGAGCCATTCAACGCGAGGAAGACAAAGTAAAGATGGAGTTGAAGAAAAACGCCAAATCTGGCAATCGTGACGTTTGTCTAGTCTTTGCAAAGGAGATTGTCAACTCTCGAAAAGCGGTATTTACTCTTTATTGAAAATGATTTCTCTGATTTGTTCAGGCAGTTTTAACTACAAAGCCTTCCTTTCAGGTCAACCGAATGCACACATCCAAGGCCCACCTAAACTCGATCATGATGAACATGAATCAGCAGCTGGCTACTCTGAGAATATCAAACTCGCTTGAGAAATCAACTGACGTCATGCGCTCCATGCAAAACCTTGTCAAGGTGGCGGAGGTCTCTCAGGTGATGCAAGAAATGTCGCGAGAAATGATGAAAGCCGGCATCATCGACGAGATGCTCGAGGAGACCCTGGAAGACACCCTCGGCGGGGAAGAGCTCGAGGAGGAGGCCAACGCTGAGGTGGACAAGGTCCTCTTTGAGATAACCGACGGACAGCTCGGCACGGCACCTTCTGTCGTCTCCGACTCGTTGCCGAGCATTTCAGTGAAGGAGAAAAAGACACCGGCAGCGCCCGCCAAGGTGGCCGCTGAAGAGGACGAGGATGATATCAGCGAGATGCGGCAACGACTGGAGGCTCTGCGAAACTGAGAATGTTATTAAAGTATTTTTATTACAACCTCTACACAAGACCACCACCTCTTTCCCTGCTCTGTACATAGTCTGAAAGCACACTGGCGTTACTGTGACTACACAGGTAAACACACGCAAACACACACACTTCCTCTGCGACTATTCAATTTGCAATTTTGTTGACCTATTTTTAAGTCTTAATTAAAAATTTACGTCTTTTTAAATGCCTCTCAAGGAGGTGGAAAGAGCCGGTTGCCAAGGTAAGAATACCTGAGCACTGCTCAGGTGCACACTTGCTAGCGTCTGCAGAATGCTCACCTGCGAATGACTTCACGAAAGCTGTTACGCCTTTCAAGCTAAAGACGGGGACGCTGTTTCTGAAAGCACTTTTGGACGTTCAATTTCTGTATCCCTACTATTTCGACTGGGCTGCTCTTTGCGTAACACATATGCTAAATCTCTGGATACCTTTTGTGTTTATATGCCGTTTTGGACAAAACGCCGATCAAACGTGAGAGAACGCACGCTTCCACTTTTAATTGTCATTTTACCGCGCATTGATTTTATACCAATTGTACTAATTGTTTGCATATTTACCCCCTAAAGGTCCTTCTACCAAATATCATCTAACCTCACCCACCATCACTTTCATTACCAGAAATGGATCCTCAACTAGAAGCCGTCATGAAAAGCACTTGTCAACTGATAGACGTCAGCCTTCACCCTTGCACCAGCAATGAAAAACGGCTCGAGGCTAATATAAAACTGAATGAATTTTCAAAAACCGAGATCCACACCAACCCCGATCTGTACACCAATATGGCTTTGCTGCTAGTGGCCCAGAAGATCGAGGATGGAGGCCCGTTTATCAACGACTACGTTAGAGAGATTTACGCTCACTTTGGATTCAAAGTACTGATTGAACTGGTCAAGTACAACTGGTACCAGTTTGATCAGTCCCGCAAGGACCACCTGAAGCAGGCCTGCATCGACTGGTGCACCACACGACTCTTCACCCTCGACGGCAACACTCTCTTTCCCAGTAAAATCTCCGTCTCATCTCTAGTCCTGAACAGTTGCAGTCAGACGATTGCCGAAGTGTTCATTCGCGAGTGGCCCAACAATTGGCCCAACTTTCTGGGTGACATCACAAGGCTAAACTCACTCGTCACTGTCTATTCCATTCTGAACATATCCGACTACTTACATACCCTGCTCATTCCCGCCAATCCGATGCGCCGCAAAGAGATCATCAAGACGTTGATGCAAAACAAAAAGACGATTTATGATTATTTTCATAAATGCCTGTCAGTGCAGGATTCAGAGGACTTTCACGACCTTAAACTTACCTTCGACTATCGACAGCAGCTGACAGTGAAAGCGCTGGAAACACTGGAATCTCTCTTTGAGTGGTTTTACCTCGACAAGGAAATAATCCAGAAAGTAATCTGTGTGGCCACCAATATACCGCTGAATCCGGACAATCGCTATCAGCACAAAATGAAGCTGCATGCACTCCGATGCGCCCAGGCAATCGTCAAAATAAACAACCCAAACAGAATAGATGACGCCGCCATCATTTCAGAGATTTTCTATGACTGCAGCCCTGGCCGTTTTCTCGAGTACTTTGCGTGCAACGTTATGGGCAGTTTTCTACGATATCGCAAAACAATTGAAGAAGACCCGGAGCTCTACGAAATGTTCACCGTCGTCCTGGACATTGGCGTAGACACCGTTTGTCAGGTGATAGCACTCTACAACAAGGACACCACCAACTCTGTCACCCGTGCCAACATCAAGGACAACCAGACCGTGTGGATGGGCTTCGTCAACTTTGTTTTTGTGTGTCTCAAGTACAACAATGTCCTCTTTGATGAGACGCTCCTCAAGTTTCTACTGATTTACAGCAAACTTCGACGAGAGGGCGAAGAGGGCGCCAAGCTAGTGTCACCCATCGACTACACCTTTGACGTCAATATTCCAATAGAGCTGCTGACAAACATTGCCCTCTACAAAATTGAGCCCAAATCTAGGCTGGAAGTGAGCAAACGCGAAGTTCGGATAGGCGTCAACATTGACTCCTACGAGAGCTATCTTAGTATTTTTAATATAAATCGAAACAAGTTTCTAACCGTCGTTCACGAAATTGTTCGCCACCAAAAAGATGCTTGCCAAATTTTCGTCTTGGGAACACTTCAAGAGCTGCTCGGACCGGTTGAGTTTTCAATGCTGAACCACAACTGGGCCCCAGGCATTCAGTCGTGGAATGTAGTTGCAGCATTGCTTTCTGTCATACTTCCCAGGATTTCTCCTCCTCCTCTGGTAAAGTTGAAAGTGCTAACATTTTACAATTTGCTAATTTTCTTTTTTTGCTTTCAGTACATTGTTTCGCTGGAAAAGTTCTTTGAGCGACTCTTGACCCTCATCAGGGACAAGTCAAAGGGAGAATCAGTCCTGTCCGCCCTTCTCTCGACCCTCTCTTCAATGTCGCCCTTTTTCAAGCACTTTTCACCTAGGCTAATTCAAGAGCTAATTGAGCGCATCTTTGATTTTACCAAAAAAGATAGCAATGATCTAGGGCGAAGCACTGAACTGCAGAATCACGCAAGTTCACTGTTTATCAAACTGGCCATCAGCTGTCACCCGATTCTGCTTCCATTCTTTGATCAAATGCGCGAACACATTGACAGGCTAGCACAGGAGAGACTGCTTTCGGACAGTCAATTTTGCTCACTCTACGAAGGACTTCTAGTTTTGAGCAATCAACTTGAGGATGAGAAGGATCAACGTGCTTTCATTCTTCAACATCTACTACCGAAAATCAATTGGATCACTAGCTACGACTTTGGAGTGAACGGACTAAACTTCTTCAAAGACATTGGCCTCAATGAGCAACCAAACCTACAGGCCACCGATTTGCCCTACTACAGTCATCCTATATTTTCAGACATGTTTACGGCGTCAAATCTCCTCATTCGTCTATTTAAGCGTGTCAATCCGAATCGATTTTTCTCCATCACCGGCCTCTCCGCACTGGACTACCTGACCCCGTTTTACAAGCTGATCGGCGCCATCAACTCGCTGTGGCAGTTTCACCAGAGCAACGACCAGCTCAGCCTGAACGCCCTCTGTCATCCATTCTACCACCAGTACATGTTTGCCGAAACGCCCATCTTCCAGCTGAACTCCATCTGCATTGATCGTCCGTTTTTAGTGCCCGCAGATGATCTAAAGGACTTTCTGGCTTCCTGGGATCGCCAGGGCCCTCCGCCACCTGAGCTGATTGGCCTGCACACCTACAAGCGAGTAGCCGTTCTCTACTCTCACTCGATAGCCCTTCTCTCCAGCTCTATGAACTATCTCTTCTACTACTACTTTGCCTCCCCGTCATCTGAAGAAGTGCTGGAAAATTTTCTTAAAAATGCATTTCTTTTGATGTTCTCTCACAGCAAGGCGTTGCCTCTTGTGTACTACTACGAGTTGATCAAACTGTACCTTCGCAATGTAGTTGGCTACTGCCCTCGAAGTGAAAAGTTTCTCAAAACGAGCCAAATAGTGGAGATCTTAAACGACTTTTTGCCCTTTGTTTTCAACAAAATTGATCAAAAGTTTCAGGCAATCAAACAGGGAAAAAGCAACGCTCCACCTCGAATGTACTCCTACCGGTTTAATCAGCAGAGCAGAGATGAACATGAAATGGAGGTCTGCATCGAGTTTGCCACCAACTCCCTCGGACAGGAGTTTATTAACCTCTTGCACGACATCTTCAGCGAGCCCAAGAACATTACCGTCTGGGCGTCCAAGTTTCAGCAACTGGATGCAGGTCAAGCGAATAATAAGCAACCTGATGATGATGCGATGGACGACGACGAGATGACCAGCGTCAGTGCTGCAGGCAGCGGCGGCAGTAAAGATCTTGAGAAGTTTGACTCCGACTTGCTCCTGTCGAACCACATGATCGCCACGAACGCCTCGCCACTGGTCATCATCGCCAGCAACTGCCTGCTCTGGCCAATTGACAACCTGCGCTCAGTCGTCTGCGGGGTGAATATGATTCTCGTAAAGTCGCTGGTCGCCCGCCGGCAGATGCACACCGTGGAGGGCTTCTACTACCTGGCAGAGCGAATCATCGGCGCCATCAGCCACACTGAAAAGTCCGACGCCACCACTGTGAACAACCTGGCCTCTTTATTCTCGCTGCTCTACGAATCAGTCGTCCTGCCCAATAACCTCAGCAGCACGGTCAACCCTCAGCTGGCGCATATTTTCAATGTCGACCTGCAGCAGTGGGATCAGTTTGCGCAAGGCTTCACCACTGCCTCTACCGCCAGTAGTTCGGCGAATGAGCGAAAGAAGCAGCAGAAGAAGCTGAAGACCCTTCTGGACAATGTCTACTCCAAGGAGACCTCCTCACTGTACGCGGTGAGCAAACCGAATGTGTTCTGCCTGGGCGACGCCGCTGGCTCAAATGACAAGGCCACCCCCGCCGAACAGGACGCCGACACTTTCTCTCTCTCCTGGCTGCTCTAACTCAGCTCAACCCAACTTACCATCTCAACTGACACTGACAACCCATTCGTCGCTTTCCTCTCGTCGCACCACCACCACCACCACCATTTGCATTTGCACCCCTAGCCTTTTTACTGATGAACTTTTTTGCACCATTTTTTAGCCAGCCAGTGAACAGTCACTAGATTGTACCATTAGCTTATTAAAAAATCTTTCTCTTCAGTTCAGTGGTGCCTCTAATCACGTTTGACAATTCATTCACACTGTTCACATTCACATGCCCCGCTATCATCGTCATTTCCAGAAAGGATGAAGTCTTTGCCTTTCGTTGATAATTCCTCACCGTTTCCGGCCACTGACAACAACGGTGGACCGGCATATAAAAGCAGTTAGTGTGGCAGTTACTGCGTGTGTGTTCACTGTCCAATGTTTGACCAGCAAAATATTCTGAAAATGCTGTCGCTCTCAATTCTCGTCATTGCTGCCTCACTTGCCAGCATCAGCAATGC